TTCCTCTGTTCCTATCGCTATGTCTATCGCTATCGCTATGTCTATCGCTATCGCTATTGCCTCGCATTGTGTTTAGGCCTTTATGCTTAATATCTCAGATCACAAGGTAGAACGACGTTTTTTTTACCCCGGATCTACAATAGGGGGTGCTTTCCACCTACGACACAAACTGTGACACAGTGTTACACTGTGTCACACAGAGTTAGGGTGCTCCTTGGAACACGTGTGTTTCGATAAAGCCCCAACAGATGGTTCTATAGTCAACTATAACAAATTTTCTACTCGATTTCATTATTCATAGACAAATAAGAAGAACTATATTCAAATTGAAACAATTTCGATAAATGTCAGTATAATATTATTTAACGTAAAATAAATGGTTGATAATTTTATGTAAATCGATATAATAATTAATATAAGGAAACAGAGCATTAACCATACGCTAGATTACATTAGCGTATGTCGTATATTAAAATCAATTCATTTGTTACAGTTTAACCAAACTTTTTGTTTAACCAAACAATTATGTCGATGTGGAAACGGAAGGCGATATTTTGTATGATTGAAACAACAACACAGCTTAGTAGTAGCTCTAGTTCTGCAAGCACTTATTGCGAAGTGGACAGCACTACAACAGACGATAGTTTATATGAAGATGATGGAGATAGTACATTATATTTTCCACTAATGCGATACTTATTTTCTGGGCGTAAACGGTATCGTGTGGAACAGTATTTAGAAATTGTGGAATCTTGGACAGAACAAGAATTTAAGGAACACATGCGATTGCCAAGACAAATAGTATTTCTACTTATTGGTAATTATGTACATTTACGTAAATAGTAGTAGTTTCACTCTTATATTCGATATTTATTTACTTTTAATGATAAATATAATTGATCTTACTAATTATTCTATTACAGCTGAATTTGAAACATCTGTGTTTATGCCAAATCATTTGTATGGGAGCAAACCGATTTCAGCAAAGCTGAGTATATTCATATTCCTGTGGTTTATGGCTAATACAGAGCCGATAAGAACAATATCAGATCGGTTTGATATTTCTATTTCCTCTGTATTCCGTATTATACGTCGTGTAATCGCTTGGATTTTGACTAAATTGGATGATGTGATTAAATGGCCGCAACAGCATAACATTTCGACAGTATGCGCAAGGTTTTTTATAAAAAAAGGAATTCGACGTGTTTTAGGAACGATTGATTGTACTCACATCCGTATTCAGAAACCTTTGGTAAACGAGATACCATACTGTAATCGTAAAAAATTTTTTTCCATTCACTTACAAGCTGTCGTTGACTCTGATATGCGATTTACGAACGTATATTGCGGTGAACCTGGATCCTTGCATGATGCTCGTGTATTAAGAAGGTCGACTTTGTATGAAATAGCGAATGAAGATAAAGAAATACTATTTCCTAATAATACATTTGTACTTGGTGATTCTGCGTATCCGTTGTTATCATGGCTTGTTCCACCATTTCGTGACAATGGTCACTTAACACCTCAACAAACAGAATTTAATTCTTTACATTCGTCTACTCGGATGGCAAGTGAAAAAGCATTTGGTATATTAAAAGCACGATTTCGTCGGATAAAATTTTTTTCGGAGTACAGAAATATGGAATTTATTACAAATATAGTAATAGCAGCGTGTATTCTGCACAACCTTTGTATAGATGAAAATGATAATTTTCAAATAAATGAAGAAAATTACGATCATGTAATTATGAATGAAAATATCAATGATGTTCGGATAGATCGCAGGATGCAATTATTTAATGAATTATTTCCTGAAGTGTAAAGTAATATAATTAATTTTAAGTAAGAAATACACAACAAATCTTATTTAATCACAATACTTAACAAAATCTTAACTTACTTAAGATTTATAATGTATTAAACGCTCTAGTAACGCCTGTATATAATAAAAATAAAATAGTTTCAGTTTTGTACGCATATTTTTTGGTTGCAATTATTTTATCACATCAAATGGAACTCTATAAACATTTTTAAATATACGCTCTATAACAATTATAAAAAAATTTTTAATAGAAACAAAACTTATGTAATATAAAAATGTCACATTAATAAACGTTTTCAGTTTTCAGTACTTTCGTTACAATCATCGTAAGCATCCGAATCACTTACAGAGTTGACAACAGACTGTTCTATATTCTCTTTATCTTTTAAAAGTCTGTGTAATAATTTACATTTTTCTCTTTCGATTGCAATTATTTCGTCGTGCTGACGATATTTGGCTTTTAGTTTATTGCTGGCTATCATCTTCTTTACTTCCAATTCTTTTTCTTGCATTTGGAGTTGCCGTTTTTTTAAATTCACCGCTTCTGTTTTTTTCTCTAGAAGTTTAGTAAGCCTAACATCTCGTTGTATTTGTCGGTTTTTTTCACTTTGCAAATGTTCAAGCCATTGTTTTTCCAATTGTAGCTTTGCTTTAGCATTATTGGATCCAGTTCCATGCAGTGGGCGAGCTCTTTTTTCATTCATGCTCGCTTTCGGATTGTTAATTTGTGGTATTCTTGCTTTTAAAACACTTGGATGGCATTCAGCAACAACTGGAACTTCTGACTGTATTTCTATAGTTTTAGTTTTCAAAACTGGATTAATTGTAGTTTTTTTTGGAAGGTTAGATGACCGAGTATAACCATTAATAGAGAAAGCCTCTTTGTCCTTGCCAAAAATCTCCTCCATTTGATCATAATACTCAAATGATATTGGGTTTCTTCCCGATTTTGCATTATTATCAACACATTCTTTATATTTTTTTATAAGTGTATTTATTTTCCACCTGACTTGATCACTCGACATCTGTTAGGAACAAATGAAAATTTATAAATTATAATATATATATATATAACAAAAATTTTTGTCTTATAACAAAAAATGGAAATAAAAAATATAAAACAACCAACAATCACGAATCAATAAATGTAGTCAATTTTAATAACAAAACTTGGTAGCTCTACTCAACTTTAAACATATCTACATGTTGTCACAGTCGAACGATAGAATTGAGATGAATAACACCATTTGCTTGGTTGATATCAAATAAGATTTTATAACATTTATGTTAATGCATAGCTGTGATTTTTTATTTATCGAGTTATGACTTTGATGACGATGCATGGGGAAATCATTGTTGGTTTAAAGTTCCTAAGGACACAGTTAACGATACATGTGAGTGACAATTGTTATTAATACAGGATGAATAATTTAAATTGAACTACCTATTTAATTTTGTATAAATTGTCCATATACAGTTAACAAGGTAATTAGATGTACGATATATTGTGAGATGTTGACTGTTGATCCATGCTGTAAGAAGGATTTGATCTACAATTTGTTAAGATTATTGAGATGTACTGAAGAGGATCTAAACCGAGATCGAAACGTCTACGGAATCATGTAATTGGATTTACCAAGTTGGAATAAATTGCACAAGTAAAAACCAGTGTTGGCTTGTATAGGCTTATTTTCACATTAATTCTTGTTAGTGAATTTCATTAATTGTCTTGATTTATTTCGATTGAGCCTTTGTATGTGTATATATTTTATTTATAAAATATTTAAAAAATACAAAACATAAAAAACTATTATTACCTCAACATCAAATTGCTTTAAACCATCTGATATAGCGGTCCACACTTTGGTTTTCTTTTTTGGATTATCCAGCATATGCAGATTTGCCTCGTACAAACTAAGAACTGCCAGTGTTGAGTGTTTATTCCACACAGCATCTGTGTATAACAAATCCTATCAGTAATTATTTACAATATTTATTTTGATATTATTCATATAAAACAGCAATTAAAGCAAGAGAAATATTTAGAAAAAATGTACTCTGTGGTAACAGGAAAAACAATGTAACATACTT